CACACACACACACACACACACACACACACACACACACTCACACACGCACGCACGCACGCACGCACGCACGCACGCACGCACGCACGCACGCACGCACGCACGCACGCACGCACGCACGCACGCCCGCACGCACGCACGCACGCACGCACGCACGCACGCACGCACGCACGCCCGCACGCACGCACGCACGCACGCACGCACGCACGCACGCACGCACGCACGCACGCACGCACGCACGCACGCACGCACGCACGCACGCACGCACGCACGCACGCACGCACGCACGCACGCACGCACGCACGCACGCCCGCACGCACGCACGCACGCACGCACGCCCGCACGCACGCACGCACGCACGCACGCACGCACGCACGCACGCACGCACGCACGCACGCACGCACGCACGCACGCACGCACGCACGCACGCACGCACGCACGCACGCACGCACGCACGCACGCACGCACGCACGCACACGTACACACGCACACACACGCACACGCACACACACGCACACACGCCCACGCACACGCACACAAACCCCCCCACATACAAATCGAAACTACACAATCCTCGTTCATGGTTGGGCCGTCTGACATTCTCCTGGCATCTATTGGGCCAGTCACAATCGATGGATGACGGATGGCGGTCCTGGTCACCTGGGGTTTAGGAATGAAAACTTGATCTGGGTGTTCGAATTTGGGCTCAGCACTTGTTTTGCTGTGGTTTCTTTTGCCTGGGGGGGGGGGGTGAAAGGGAAACCGACAGAAGCCCGCCCATTTGCCCTAATTTCTAGCAACATTGAACTCACCAAGGAAATGGCCCCTTTAAGCCTTTGAAGCAAGGGCCCCCAGGCCTTCGATCTCACGCCAACTTCCGCAGCAGCGAGGCCCCGAACTCCTCTCGCTGCATCTTGGCGGCTTCCTGCAAACTGGCGGACGGAGAGATTCGGCTCAAGATCTGGAAGGTTCATTGTCCAAACCATCATAACCTGGTGATCTGGAATGATTCCCATGATGGTTTAACCATCATTTCTTCATTCCACCATAATTCCATACCCAAATCTGGGGAATTCAATCTGGTCCGCCATCATTTCAGTCCAGGGAAAATGCAAGATGGTTTCCAAACTTTGACGCGGAAATCGGGATAAGCTTCCTTGTGGCTTCCCTTGAAATACCAACCCAACGAGGGTCCACCATAGTGAGAAACACCCAGACGTGGAATCCCCTTTTTTCTGTGAAGTCCAGTTGGGACCACCAGGGTCCAAAAGGATCCCCGGGCCTGGGGGGTTGCATCTCTCCACATGTAGCTTGAAAAAGAGCAGGACATGGGCCAATGAATGGGTTCTGCTGAACGGGTTCCAAAGGGTGCCAGCTTACACCACAGGACAATCATGCGTGTAGCATCCGAAAGGAGCCAAGCTGTTGGGACCCATTTTTGTCTAAGCATTTTAAGATGGAACCACCTCAAAAGTAGTAGGTGCACATGAATCCGCACCGAATTCAGATGTCCTACCATTTAGAATCCGCACAATTTCGGTTCCCTCAGACAAAAATCCATGCCCCCATTTGGGTCACCCCATTTTGGCTTTGGCCCTTACGACGTTTGCCAGCCCCGGGCCTTCTCTGCTTGCTTCACCTTGACCAAGAGCAGGCGCGCGTCCTGCCAAAGCCCTCATGGATTTGGACGGGTAGGGGTAAGCAGAACCCCAGTTTATTATCGGGGTGGGGGTCCCTCCAAAAGTGATTCCCCACTAAAACCGGGGACACCCCCATGTTTATTCATTCGGGGTCAACATTAGGGCGATAACTCCTGTCGATCAAAAGGCAACCCCCAAAACATAGCTTATGAAGTATGTTCCCAGTGAAAAACCAAGAAAGCAACACGGGCTTGGATTTGCGCATGTCTGAGTCTGGGAACCCTCTGCGTTGTGCATTGCGCAACTAAACGGAAACCAACGCGATTCAACTATTTTGGCCCGGCTTAGAACATATCCATTCCCCTGCAGTGTCCAAAGCTCGAAAGGGATCCCTGAGTAAAGGGCCTACAGCACCAGTTGAGCTCGCAACTAACAACTTCCTGAAAACTGAATCGTACGTTCCCCAAGAGGCGATTCCTCTCCAAATGGGTATGTTTGGGGTTCCGTGTCAACCTGCGGCATGCAATTTCCTCCTCCCAGTTTTGGGTGCTCGCCCTTTTTGTTTTCGGCGGATGGACTCCCCCCACCAGTTCTTGCTCGCCGTATGGCCATATGTGTTTTTATGTATTTCTTTTTTTGGCGGAAGGGGGATCCCTGCCTTGTTCTCTGGCTCCAGCTCCATGATCTTCTTGCAGTCCTTTGCCGCATCCTGGAAGTCATAGGAGCCCATGTGGCCCTGGGCGCGTCTGTACAGCGCCTTGATGTTCTTGGGCTCCTGCACAAGGCAAACGGACCATCGCCAGCGCTCGAGTTGGAGCCCCAATTGGCTGGGTGTTGGCTGCATCCTAACAGCCATGATACTGCCCACCTAAGATTCAGTTAACCCCCCCTCAAATAAAAAGGCTTGAGCCACTTGCCCTATGGGGCCCGACCATCTTCTGCGGGGAAACCACGAAACAGAAAGGGACAAGGGATAAATGCTGGTTTCCTGTTGGTCATGGTGAAAAAAGTACTTCGAGGAACCCCTCGCAAAGTGAACTCTTGGCGCCCGCTTTAGAACAAAAGTTCCTGCGCCTGCCTGTTCTGAGTGTGAAAGCCAGACGAAGGGTTTCAACCATCCTGTTGTGTGATTCCCCCTTATCAGCCCTGCAATCAAATCGCGAAACTCTGGCTAGCCTCTCTTGTCAGCCGCAAGAATTAAACATCCATTTAGATGCAAAAGTCTACAGGGGTCCAAGCGCGCCCTTCCGGAGGTGCCTTTGCTTATTACAAGCAGTGAACAAGGACAACCCTGTGATTCTTACCATGGTTTGTGGTTGTTTTACTTGCAATGTCTCGGAAATGGTGAGAATCCGGATCGGCACCCCCCCCCCCTGGTTGTATAATTATATGGTGTGTGTGTGTTCCATTTTAGGGCAGTCCGGATCTCAATTTAGGGAAGCACGTGCACACACACCCTGTTCGCTTGGTTGATTCATCCGGGAACAAGATTGGTCCCTGACCCAATACCAATTCACATACACTAGGTCCTCCGGTGCGAAGGATAGAATATGGGTACCATTTTTTCTGTAGTCTATTTCAGTAGGGGAAGCCTTCCCCAAAAAAAAAGGTAAAAGGGCTACCCACCCACATCCAACCCCCACCCAGCTGCACATCAACCGCAGGCTTCACCTCTTTGAGCACCTCGTCGCAGTATCTGGCTGCTGCGTAGTGCAGGCCCAGCTTCAAAGCCTCCGAAACTTCGGGTCGATAGGTTCGGCTGCGCCCCAAGGCTAAAAACAACCCCCCAAAATGGCACCGAGCCGCAAAAAGAACGCAAACACGCATGTCAGCCCAGAAGCGCAGGCCGCCAAGTTCAGTCGACTACTTCTCCTCAGTTCTTCCGCGGTCTTCTTCTCCACCCACTCAGTGAAGACCTGCGCCACTGTGCGCAGGTACTGCCTGATTTGGCCAAGCAAAGGCAAACTTGAAAAGCTTACTTTTACAACAATCATCGCCCATTCCACGAACGGCTACCAATGGCTCAATCAGAGGGAACAAAGAAGCGGGGAGTTGGAAAGGATCAGCCTTGTCAGCCTGACGACTAAGCTTCAAACTAAAACCAAGAATTAAACCATGCAATCAACCTGGATCTTCCCACATGTGAAGGACTTCCTTGCGAAATGTGACTCTTTGCTGTTAATCCAGGGGGACAATCCTGGGTCAACATTAGGCCCAGACCACGCGTGCCCCCCCGCCCGTTTGGAGCCTCCTGATTGCTGGTGCTCCCGGGCGGCTTGCGGTACACCGGCAAGAGCTGGATCACCCTGGAGTACCGCTCCTCGGCCGAAGCAAAACTGTAGAGCAACATTCCAACCGGGAGCCCCTGGCAACTATGGGCTAGGCCCTCCAGTAGAGAAGTTAGAATCAGGGTACCCTTTTTTCTGTAGTCTATAGAGTCTATTTTAGTAGGGGAACCCTCCCCCAAAAAATGGTAAAAGGGCACCACTGGGAGACCTAGCGGGCCATTCTATTGGGGGTTGGGGGGTCCCAGCCACGACTATTTATATCACAATTCCAACCTGGAACAAACAACAAATCACCTGAAGCAAATCGAAGAAAAAACATCGTCCTTAAGCGCGCGCGCTCTCTTGCCAACAAGGCAGGCCACCAAAAAAATATATAGCAGGCTGCTTGAAAGGCAGTTCCACGCTCACAGGTTCTTGTTGTTCCGGTCCTCAATCACAAACCATCCACAAGTTGGTCCACAAGGTGCATACATTTTGACTGCTAAAATGGTGCCTGACTTCCTTGAAGGACGCCCGGCCCGCCACTTCTGACCAAGTGTGCGGGTCAGCACCCGGATTGATCTGGTCGCCCAAGACTAACAGCTCTCTGTCTCTCTATCTTTCTCCCGCCACCGTGCTGCTCTAGTATTATGTTGACATCCTGCCCCCAAGCCTACAACCCATCTGCACCCAAGCTTCGTGCGCCAACCGATACCGGCCGTTCTTGAAGTGCTCAGATCCTGCGCCGCAGGCAACGCTTGGCCAGGGATCGATGTCCAAATCGACAGCAAACAAGCAGCAGCTGCGTGAGAAACCCGGTCATTGACATGCAGGCACGAGGAGGGCGCAACCATATTTGAAAGACAGGAACACCATCAGAAACTGGCTGCATGATCCTACCAGAGAGTTTGATCCAGGCTTGCCCCAACTCATCTTGAGTGAGTCATGCCAAAACAAGATGATGCAAAAAAGGGTGTTGCTAAAGCTGGGGTGTCGGTGCTAAGGCTCGAGCGAATGCCCCCGCCTTTCTCTTTGACCTTCTTGGCGAAATTTAGCAGCAACAGATTCTCGCTCGGACCCTCTTCTGGCTGAGGGCTACCTGAGCCCATCCGAAGCTCTCTACTGAAGTCTACGGCTTGCCTTCCAAAACCCCAAAGCTCCAGTGACCATGCAGCTCCTCCCAAGGCAAAAAGAGGCACTGCTGCAGATCATGACTTATAAAACTGGCAAACAGCTTGTAGACTGAATCCAGGCGTGAGCTTCCGCAAGGAAGCCAAACCAGGCAAACTGCTGCTTTGCTCCGACATCCATACGGGCTGAGACCTTGTGCTGGTCACAGGGTCTGGATCATGCCGCCAGGGCTTGCCTTTTTTTTGACCAGGTTAGACAGACAAAGGTAGCAAACCCTCCTAGGTCCAGTAGAGAGGTTAGAATAAGGGTACCAACTCTTTTCTGTAGCCTATTTTAGTATAGGGGAACCCTCCTGCAAAAAAGAATCGGTAAAAGCGCACCTAGCTGGACCTAGCCTCCCCGCCGCCTTCCCTCAGAAAGACTTGCAGTGTGCAGAGGTGCCAAAGTCCAGCATCTCCAGCTTGTACACCACGTGGCCGGCATCCGGAGGAACCTAGCGGGCTCGCGCTCAGCTAAAGGGCCTGTCCGTAGAATGGGTCTAGTGGTACGGATGTAGCATCAAGCATTTGATTTTGCCAGGTTGTAATTGGCGGTGATTCACGCGCCCTTTCTGCCATCTTAGCATCAAAAGGTTTTTTGCTGGACAGCGAGGGAGCTACAGCCTTTGTGACTGGAAGGCTCTACGAATGTGCCATCCCATGCCCAACCCCTAGGATGCTGCAACTTGGCGCTTCACTGTGGGTTAAAGCCATGCGCGCGCCAACACCCCTGCCCAGTCTTCGGGGGAGGCGGGGGCATTGGTCAAACTCCAACATCTAGGAAAGCACGACAGGCAATGTTCCCAAAGGTAATGCGAAAGAACATTCTACAACACTGCGACCACCCTCCCAAACCTCCAGTTTTGGTCTATTTTGGTCTTCCCCCAGTGTGTTTTCCCAAAGGGGTGTGTGATCAAAAGCCACGCTGTGCAGGTGAGATCTAGGGAGCAAACCTGGGCCAAACCCGGGCGCAGCGCCTGCAAGTTGGGCTTGCCAGGCGCGTGCAGGGTAGGATCCTTGACGGTAACTAGGGAGATTTCTCCTCCGCGCGCCACGTCCCCTTGACAAAACTCGGGGGTCGAAGCGTGGCTTCCATACCTTGGTTGCTTTCTGCGAAGCCGTGCTAAAAGTGAATCACTTTTCGTGGTTTCATAGGGAAAACCCACTAGTTGGCAGAAAGTTAAAGTCCTAACATCCCTTGACAAAATGCGCCAAAGATACGTTGTTCCTCCTCAGTATCATGGTTGAGCAATAACCCTGGACTCTGCCCCACAACCCTTCCATAGCCCGAAAGGTGCGGAGAACTGGAGTTTGCAAATTAAACCAAAGATGGCTGACGTGTTTAAACGAGCCCTCCCCAAGGCTTCTGGCGTTCCAACTAATGACGGAAATCACTAGCCGGCGACTTGCAAGGCAATCAAATCAGTCCCTTGCCAAACTCTGCTTGTCTTTCCCGGGGCACGGGAGCGAGGCATGAATCACCCACCCTGAAATGAAGAAATTATGGATTCAGTCAGCAACATCGCAGGAAGAGTCATTCCCAACCCCTCAGCGAGGTCGCACACCATGCCGGGTGCTCTATTTTGAGGTCCCCAACAAACAATCATGCCCGTCCTCTTCTGGTTTCCATTTGGGTATTTTTTTCAGCAGACCCCCAAAATGGTGGTTCCCAAAAAAGACACACCCATTCGGGGGAATCAACACGTTTGACAATTTCGAGCTCGGATGAGGTTTGCAAGGCCATGCAGTCTGAACTCAAATTTGACTCGACTGTTGGAAAGTGGGTTGCAGCCCAATCAACCAAAGTCAAACCCACTTTCATTCTCCAAGTCTCAACGATTGGCCCTGAGCTACAAGAGTCGCTTTTCGTGCGCCGTTTACCTGTGGACATAGAAATTGGGCCGTAGGCCAAACTTTCATGAATCAACGAGCTTATGAGAAGGGGCCACGACGGGATGGCTCTGCCGCTGTGCCCATTTTTTTGATGCAGGTGATGCTTAAACTTAGAGCCACCAAAAAGGAAAACTACCTGGATCGCCAGTTGCTGATTTTTTCCATCCACCTTACCTCAAAAACCAGCAACAGCGACCGAAAAAAGCCATCGCAACTTGGCTAACCAGGTAGCTCCCGCCTCTGGGGCCTCCCCCCCAACGCTCCCCCGTGAATTTCCCGTCTCGTGGTCCTTTCCGCATGGCCGCGCAGGCCGCTTCCAGAGCATCGCAAAGCTCCCCTTGCCCCACGGTGGTCTCCATGATCTGCTCTTCCAGCAGCTCCTCCTCGCGGTGAGACTTTTGGCTCATCTTAGGAGTCTTAGACCCCAGACATGTTAGTCAGGGTACCTGGAAAACTCTAGTGGCCACTTTAAAGTATTTTAAGCTGTGACATGTTCTGTTATTACGCGTTACAGTGATTAAGCTTTTATTAGTGACATGTTATTCAGGGAACTAATAAAAAGAAACTCCTGATGATACTTGGGGGGTAATTAATCAGGGGTCAACACTACTTCGCATCATTGCTTGGCAGCATCAAGGCTTGAAATGTTGCAGGTTGCCAACCTGCAGGGTCCTTGCGGGGTGGCGCGTGGGCATTACCAGCATCATTCATGATTGATTGGCAGCATCTAACCTTGGATCCCCAACCCATCGGAGACCAAAGCGTTCCTTGAAAGCACCTCCAAAATGGTCAAAAATCCGGAGGCAAAACGCTCTCCTTAGGAGTCATGTATGGTGATCCAGGCTTCATGTCGCCTGCTGTCCAGGTTCGTCTCAACAGGAAATCGGGCAACGAAATCTGTTGTGAGTATCTGAGGGTAGGGGTCTGGGAGAAGAAGGTCTGATTTATCAGGGGTCCCCGTCAGGGGTGCCTAACTGTCCCTGTAAACGAGATCTCTCTTGCTTAACAGGGACTGAAAGAAAGTAAAAAAGGAACACATAGGGACCCTGTTTCGGGGACAGGATTACTCAGTACTTGCTTCATTTCGTCCATCCTCCCCCAGCTTCGCGCCGAGGATTTTCACCTTGCACCAGGTGCCGTCAAAGCCCGGACACAAGCGACACCTGTCAGGGTTCCTGGTTTGGGTGTTTGGGGCTGTCTGTTTTTGCTGGGGTCCCCTATTTGAAGACACATGTGTTTTTTGTTGAAGGGGTGCACTTTTCTGATTTAAGGGGCCCCACAAGAAACAAAGGAAGCAAAACACAAGTTGTCTGGGTCCCCCAATGATAGTTAGCACATACCACTTAGAACATCAACCCAAACTCAGGCCGCAAGATGAATCAAAGCAGCCGTAATGTATGTCTACATACACAAATATATACATTCCGTTTTTAAGTGCGTACAAACACGCAACGCATTCACATTTTGCATGTGTGTGTGTGTGTGTGCGTGTGCGTGTACCCCCGCCTCTCCGGCTTGATGGCCTTCTTTTGCACCAGGTCCGGCTCCCAGAATGCCTTCTTCCCAGCATCCTGAGGCTTCCACGTTGATTCCCCAATTCGGGGGTTCCACTTTGAAACACACCCAATGTAGTTGCAAACAAACATTGGGGGAAACCAAACCTCCGTCTTTCCTTTTTGGTGCATGGGAAGTTTGAGGGTTCATTCATATTGGCCTACTGACCACAAAGGCTGAACCTTTCGTGGGTTAGTTCGGCTTGCAAATAAACCCTCGGAACCAAACAACAAGGGCTTTGGCGGATGACAATCCGGAGGCCTGAGATGTTTGGAACAGCCGGGTCCTCAAACTCGTAGATCTGCAACAGCTTCAGTTTGATGGCCACATCCGCCTTGGGAGGGATGCCCAGCTTCTCATCACCGGCGTCTCCGCACGCATAGTCAGCTCGAACAACCAGCGTGCCGCAGCTGTTTAGCTTGTAATTCACCAGGGACTTCTGGATTGCCTGCAAATTTGGGGGGGAACCCAAGCCCTTGTTCAAGAAAAGGAAGCTTTAAACAACAAATTTGGGGAACCCAAGCCCTTGTTCAAATGTGTTTAGACACCTATACTTTCAACAACCCCTTCAGGGTTCCCTCTACAAGGGTCTGGTTGCTGAAGCCCAATTTTGCCCAACCCTGGCGCCTTGCTGCACAGCACCCCGTTGTCAAGGTGCTTCAGCATCCTCACTGGCCAAGAGAGGCACATCATCTCGCTTGCGCGATAGGCAGGGAATGAGAATTGGAACGACCCCTGTAAACCATCCCCTGTGGTTTCCTCTAAGGGAATCCCTATAGGTTCATTCCCAACACGCCCGGTCATTCCCTACTGAGCACCACCAATTCCCTGTTTGACGTGACGTACGGCTTGCACCAACAGGTCGGTGTCTGAGCTGGCAACAACAGGAACAGAAATTAACCCAACACGTAGAAGCCAGCGTTCAAGCCCGGCGCCTGACAGTCCCCCGTTTTTGCACCGACCGATCCGTCCTGAAGTCCATTCCCTCGCGCTTGTCCAGTACTTGTCCGCTGCTCTTCAAACTCAGCTCGTAGTCGATAAGCAGCTCGTCCCCGTCCTGCGACTTGCCCCACAGGCGCCACTCGTGTCCAAGAATAACACCAACCATTTTCCGGGGTCACCTTTCGGAACCGCGACCGCTGGAGCTGCTTAAGGCTTAAGGTCTCTTCGAGGGCCCTTTGACATCAGAGGCGCGTCAGACTCATGTCGTCTCGCCATTGCAACGCGTGCGCAGGACTCCTTGGGGGAGAAACCATATTCCTCCCCATCGTCGTGGATCCTCTCAATGACACTGCCATCTCCTCACTAGACAGCATGAGATGCTGGCGATGTAAGAATTACGCTTCGCATTGCTGACTGTCTGCGCGTTTCCTTTTTTACTGAAAAGGGAGCGTGTCCCCGGGCAAAGGCAATTCAACTGCCGGCATTTCTTGTACAGTGGAAACTCGATTCGAGATGCGCGCATGCGCATTCTCCGGAATCTCGGCTACGGCCGAGGCTCCGAACAAGTCCACGATGCCGACGACTTGCACCTCAAATGAGACCAAACCGCACCTTGTCTATCAGCCCAAACAAGTCAGAACGGGTGTAGCTGGACTTGGTGGCGAAACAGATGCATCTCGGGTGGTTTCCTGGAAACACTGCAGGACTCAGAATCCAAACATCTGGGCGAATTGCGGGAGGTCAATTGTTCCAGTTCTTGGCTCCCAAAACCGGGGCGCCTTCATGATCATATTTGTCCACAGTTTCTTGGGGAGGAGGCCATGCGCCAGAAGCCTGGCACGCCATGAGTCTGGCCAGGGCACCAGCTCAATTTCGTAGACCACCTCCTCCCCGTCGTCCGGCAGCTTGGCGAGGAACTGCTGCGGACCCCCGGTGCGGTACATCTCGGGCACCGTGAACTTGGAAATCTCGCCCTGGAACCACTGCGAACCAATCCAGCATGGGCTATTCCCATAGATTTGTCACTTTGAGGGGGGTTAGTCACCCTTTGTGATATACATCTACAAGTCGGGTCGTTCCCATGTCTACTCTTTGGCACTTTGAAGCACGCTCATTCTGCGATTTTCACTGATCACAGAAAGTGGCGCTATATCAAATGATCCACGACCATGGCCCCCAACGACGGGGGGCAGTGGACAGTTGAGAGTGAAGCCAGGTCGCAAGATGCTTGGAAGGTGTGTGAAGTTGCGGGCCCCAGAGGAACATTCAGGAACAGCAGAATCCTTCTTTCGAGCTGCGGAAGTGATCGGGCCTTCCTCATGGTTGCCACCACCCGGTCCCAGGCTTCCATCACCATGCCGGTGCCGAGGTTGAAGCGAATCGGGTCGCCATTCAGAGATGTGTCCAACAGCACGCCGCTCGCCGAGACATGGTAGTGGATCTCTACCTGGACTCCATCCGAGCGGGAAACTTGCACGCAGATTCGCACTGCCCAGCAGATTCGGTCGAAGAAAAACACGTGGAGATAAAATGACCTTTTGGAGGAGCCACCTTTTGGATTGTCTGGGTACCAAGGGACCCTCTGGGTAAATAATATGCCCCCAGTGGCAGTCAGCTTCCATTTGTTTGTCGGTCAGAGGCCAGGCGACCCTCCAGGAATAAGCCCCCAGTCAGCTTCCATTTTTGTTCAGTCAGAGGCATTCCCGCGTGCCCCGCCTCATCGCCCTTCTTGGGCTGGCGCCTGATAAAGTTCACCTCAGGAAGTTGGCAACATCCAAACGCCGAAGGGAAACCAACCATCTGGCTGTGGCTCAAAAAACTGGAATTCCAAAATGGGTTGCCCTGGTGGAAACATGGACCAAAACCCGCGGTTTGCTCCTCCTGTTTAATTTTGAGCCACAGCCATCTAACATTTGAGCGACTCTGCAAACCTTGCTATGACCCAACTCTTGCTTGGGATGTTTCGTTTTTTTTTGGAACTGCTCATTCGAGGTTTTGAACAAGAAGTGGCTTCGACAACATTTGAAAAACAAAAACCGTCGCCCCCAGCTTGTGGCCTTCTTCACCTCTTCTTTCTTGATATCCGCCGGCAGAACCTCCTCGTCCTTTCCCATGGCTCAAAGGTGTTTCTTAGCTTCGATGGGCGGTCGATGTGGTTGAGGTTAATTTGACGGGGCGCCACGATCTTGGCACCCCTGCGCAGCCTGCCTTGTGCCTTGCCAGCTTGCCCCGTGCCCTGCGCTGCTCTGGCGGTGTGCTTGGCGATATGTGCTGCTTGCTTCCCAAGCCAAAGCTGACGGCCAGCGAAGAGAGGCCAAAGCTGACGGTAAACGGCCCAAAGGTGCCAACCTCGGAGAGATACAGAGTCTCAAACGCGCCCCAGGATTTGGCCAGAGATCTCCGTGAATGGCAAAAGGCCACTGGATCCCGGAATGTTCCCATTTCCTGTATGCGTGAAACCAACATGCCATACTTTGGGCCGTGAACCACGCCGGCGTGCGAGCATGCCGCCTTCTCCTGCTGGGGTAGCTCCATGCTGATTCCTGGCGCCCCTGTCATCACTATGCAAACCCTGCGCTGCTGTCTGTCTGGTCAGCTGCTAAGGTCCACCCGCGCTTTCCACGCGAGGTGATGACAAATTTGTCTTTGGATTTCCAGACATGCAGCTTTCAAAATAGGCACCCCGAAAGTCAGGATGTCATGTTTTGGACCATTGCATGCACTGCGCATGGCCATTGCTTCTGTTTGCGTGTTCCCGGCTCAGTATTGTCCTCATAATTATGTCCTTGAGCCATTCGGCCCGCCGCAAAACGCTCTCTGGAGTTAAGGCCGGCATTCAGCTTGCTGTAGATTTGAGCATTCTCAACTTCTGCCCCAAAGAAAGTTTCAGGCACGCTCAGGTAGCCCCAATCCTTCCGAGCCTCAGAACAGCTCCCCCCAAACACCCGGCGTCACCATGGCCGGGGTACGCACCCGGACCCATACCCCTACCCTCATTTCGGCGCTGCCAAGTCACTTGAAAGCTTCACAAAGAATTCAAACCATTGACATGTTTGGGTGATTCTATTTTCAGTGGGGTCCGAACCCAGGCCAAAAGTTGGATTTCTTTCGTTTGACCCTCTGCCCACACCCAAACCAAGCCAGCAGCTGGTGTGCCAACTACATAGCTGCTTCAAAAGGTGATACCCTCTTGTCCACTAACATGGGAACCACCAAAAGAAGGCAACTGGTGTCTTCCAGGACCCCTGAGTCAGGCTCCATGTTAGTGGACGAGAGGGTATCACGTTGAACCCAACCATGAACAATAAATTTCAAGACTGTCAGGACATCTCAGTTCGTGGATTGGCCAGAACAGGTACAGGAACCTTTTTTAACCGCTAAAATGGTCTTCCCGAAAAAAGAGAAAAAATAAAAACAAAAAAACCGTCCATGAACTCAGGGAGTGAGACATGGGGCCCTCGACCCCGGATTTTCTTTCCAGCGACGCTGCCAGGCGGCGGGCCCGCAAATCCGTCAGCCCGCGCCGGCCGCTGCGCCGGCCAAGGCGCCCAGCGAAACGCGCGCGCTTCACCTTAGGCGTGTTCAAGTAAAATAGGCTGAGATGTGTAGAGTTGCCTAACTCTTTGAGTTCATCGCTTTCTAGTGGGGATGTCCTTGGCATCGCAGCAATCATCAGAGAGAGAGAGAGAGAGAGAGGTAAACAAACTCTCCGAAAGTGGCCTGGTCGTCAAAAGACTTGGAGCTGGGCACCGAAGAGCAAGGGTACCAGACCCCGCGGCGACGTTTGGACACCCTATTTTTTCGTTTGGCAAAATGAGCTTGCCGCCATTTGAAGGCACAAGGCGGGGGAAGCTTTCCAAACGCGCGGAACCCGCCACAGTGGCCTTGGAGAGGGGGGGGGGTCCAAAAATATGGAACCCACCAAAGTGGAAGGGGAGTTCACCCAACCTGGACAAACCTCAAAGCGGGGAAATGGCCCTCTGGTACTACAGAAGCTGGCACCAACCCCGGTTCCACCACCCGGCTTGGCCTTGTTCTGCGTCCTCATTTACTCGTAAGTTCGTGTTTTCCGTTGAGGGCGGGTGGAAGTGGACGCAGAATGAGGCAATCCACCCATCAAATTGGGGTGCATTTCTCCAAGGACACCTTTGTTGGGGTAATTAGTTTAAAGATTGATAAGAAAGCCCAAAGGGAATGTTGGGGCCTTCCGTATTTCAAGACACACCCAGCAGTGATGGCCAAAAGCTGCCAACATAGCACACGATAGCACAAGTGCTAATAAACCTCGCCTGGATGACTCAGCCATATCCGGTGTTCAATCAGTTTTGGCTGAAGCATGTGCCACGTGTTACAAACAATTAAATTTTTGGGCCCAGCGCGGTGGGAGCAACACGGCAATGTCGACAGAGAATGGCAGACGCTAGCGCCAAGCACGGCAGCACGATCAGTGATCGATTGACAATTGTTGGGTGGTCCTTGGGCTGAAACATTATTAACAACTGCCATAAGATTGGAGACAACAGCTGCAAAAGCCAAACTCACAAGGCCCACAGGCCTTGGGACAACAGCCCCACCATCCCCACTTAGTAGGGTGGGCGGGTGGGAAAACACAAGTTCAGTAAGCAGTCAAATGACACAGCTGCGCATGTACCTAATACTCACAACCAGTGCAACTGTGCGGGTGTGATGCTCAAGGCAAGCCATGAGAATCTCACCAGCTGGCAAACAAACTACACCGGCATAGGCCCCAAATAGCATGGAACATTTCAGCGGCACCCTGACCAGCACCCTGACTGCATCGCCAAACACCACCGCGGCACCTTGAGACAACCAAACAGCACCCCAAACTGCATGCCCCTTAGCCCCCTGTCTTCATCTCGCAAACATGTCACCAGCACCTCAAACAGCACACCATCACCAGCACCTCACAAACAGCACCTGCACCAGCACCTCAGAAACAGCACCTGCACCAGCACCCTCAAAGCGCATTCCCCCTAGCACCCTGCCATCAATCTCACAAGGCTGCGCCCACATCAACCAGCACCCCAACCTCCATGCCCCCTAGCACCCTGCCGTCAATCTCGCAAATCACTTTCCCCTCATTGATAGAAGTTAGAACCCCTTTAGCTTGCAGCTATCTCGGGAAAAAACAACAACATGTGTTCTTCATGGGAAAACAACAATATGTCTTCTTCAAGGGGTTGGCGCGCAGCTGTCTGCCCGCGCCTGGCTTGTAGCTCAGGCCCTGCTTCAACTTACAGCGCCCAGAACTTAAATGAACCGAACTCCTGCCAGCACCCCCCAACAACTGCTTTTACTTGGGACATGGAAAAAAGTAGCTGGGGGGTGCTGGTGTAGACGATGATTGGGTAGAACAAGAGAGCCCTTTTTTCTCTTGATCATTCTTAGTGGAGAACCCACCAAAAAGAAAGAACCACTGAACAACTGGGATTTCGTCACACATCTTTGCCATGTAAGTCCCCCAACAACTGATTTGTTGCCGAAGCCTGGCTGGCGGCTGAAACTGCCCTGAAATTCCCTCAGTGGTTGCAATGGGCTCCCCCGCAATGCTGCGGCAAATCCTTGGTTGCGAGGATTCGCAAAACAGACCCTGTTTCCGCCACGTCGAAGAAGCTGTTTCCTCACAGGCTGAAGATGTGGGGCCCAAAAGGAACTCGGGGACCGTAAAGCGAGCACCCTTCAGATCGGGACTGCCCATGGAATCTGAGGGAAGCTCTGAATAGACTCCACTGGGGAAATATGTCTCTGCGAAAGCGACCATATTTTCTTGGACAATCCGACCCCTTAATTGATCGACCAGTCAGTGTGCATTTACTGGAAAAAAGCGGCGAAATCAACGTTTAGTGCTCTGCGCCGTTTTGATGACCAATGTGCGAGGTCTGTTTCTCAAAATTATGGATCCCCACCAAAACCCACGAAATTTCACAAGGACACCTGCCTCGGGTCGGCATTCCCCCAGCTTGAACCGCCTCATGTTGACAGACTCGAAGGATATTCAAGGATTTCTCCCGGCCCAATATTTTTGTCTTTTGGGCCGTGGTTTCCAAAAAAAAGCGCGGAGTTTCTGCTTCGGTTTTCCCCTGGCAAACAACAGGTTCCCAAAACCTGCGCAGTTCCCAGCCCAAAGGGGCGCGGCACATTCTCAAGGGGCGCCCTCAAAAATTTTCTGCCCCTCCACTCGACCGCCTGAGGCCGGGCCTATCAGGCCACCGGGCTGCGGATCCACGACCCCGACGCTCGGAGAAAGCAAAAAGAGGAAAGCGGGGGCCATGTGGCCTAAGCCCGGGACCTCATGACGGGCCCATTTTTAATAAATACCAGCCAAACCATCTCCTTGAGGAAAGGCCCGAAAGGTTGCTTTGGGGATATGGACCGCGTGGCTTCAATCATGCAGCGTTGGCGTGACGTCACTTTACCAAAGTTTGAAGCACCTCCTGCCGGATGTTTTTAGTTGTTTTTTGCCCCTGAGCCCAATCCAAACCTCCACGAGGGAAACATAACATGCACTTCGACAGATTGAGACCTTGAAGGAAAGCCAACCCAAATCAAAAAAATATAAAAAAAGGCAACAACCCAAAAGCGACAAACAAGCACCTCTTTTTCTAGTGGGCTGCGTTGGTTTGCCTTCAAACCACCCCCAAGAAAGACCAGTAAATTCTAAAGGGACCCCACTCAAAAAAGGGGCGACCCGCCAGGGCGCAAATCCGGCGTCAGCCGTTTGCGGCGCATGTCGGTGAGCAGAAGCAACGCCTGCTCCCATTGCTTGGCCTTTTCCAGGCAGCCCAGGGCTGCGGTGTAGTTCTGGAGGTCCTAAGCTTCCATTTGCCTAAGCCCTGGAAAGAAAAAGAATCCAGTAGTGATCGATTCCTTTTAAAACCAACAGGGGAAAAAAACATATTCTTAAACAAATGGAAGCAAGCCGGGGTGCCAAGCTCAAGGGAAAGAAAAAATAACACCTCCGAAAACCCCGCGATTGCGAGGAATCGGGCCGCCCAGATCAGCTGTGATTCGGGTGCCTTGGAATCCGCCAAAGCAATGCATCCAAGACCGTTTTCCAGATCAGCTCCCAATGAACATCTGAGAATCTGTGGCTGGCTTCCAAGGGGTCTGATTTGAAAGCACCCCAGCTCGCCAGTTTAAAAGGAAGAAATCCTTCACTAAGGAGCAATAACATGGCCGAGCCCCTTGAAACTCCCGAGCTCGCCATGAGGTTCACATCTCTTCACCAAATAAACCTGCAACCCGAAGGATCCTCGAGAATAAAGAAATAGCAGGCTGTCCAAATCATTCTCAATACCCCAATTGGCCATCCCTCCAAACTTAAGGCAGGGATCCGGTTATCTCAAGATCTAAGCCGGGGTAAGTGGGTTTCATACGTCCAAATGTCTGAATCTAAGGGGTTCTGGGAAAGAAAATGGGGGGCATGTGACGGACACTGCCTAGCTCAATGTTTGGGATTGTTTGAGATTAATTCAGCCCTTAAGCAGGGCCTTTCGGCCAAGGCTCATGTCATATACCCACCGTCTGGAAATCATGCTTTGAGTTGGTGAAACAACTCCTTCACCGCCCCCATAAGCGATGCAAGATCCAGAAAGAACCTCTGTGATTCGCGTTCCCCCAAGAAAACGGCAACCTCAGGCTTAGGGAAAAAAACAAAGGCTCCAACCCAGGAAACGTTCTTTGATTTGAAAGGATTCTGAGAACAATCCTGGGGTCGTCCATTTCCAATAGGCTGCCCAGAGGCGGGCGTGACTTCTTTGCACCACATCTCCTTCGCCCAAAGAGTGCGAGGGGATGCTGGACTGAGCGTTCAACGGGGAAGGGGAGAGGGGTCTGGAATGAATCTTCTTGGACGTCTTTTTGCAACAGTGCTGGCACACCTGAATAATCATAGTCCGATTTTGACAACCAACCTGCAAGCGTCATTAAAAAACAGCCTGAAATTAGGGGACCTGCCAGTAAAGGACCTACATCATGAAAAGCTTGCTTTTTGTCCCCGTTGAGCTTGCCATTCGTTGGGTCTCGCATCCAAAGCGCAGGAAGGAATCAGTGCTTGGAGATGCTCGTTCCATTTTTGACAAACACAAAAGCTACAAAACTACAAAAGCTACAAAAGCTACACAAGGCACACAGGAAACCGAATCCTTAGGACACCCAAAACCACCCGACTGGCCACAAGTTTTGGGCTTTTCAACACGTCAAACTCGGCGAATACCGCTGGCCTCCAGCATCTCCAGCATGGCATCCCAGGCGGTGGAGCCAATGGCTGCCGTGTAGCTCACCCGGTTGGGCGCCACCCCTGCGGTGGCTCAGGTTACATGGAACGACCTCAGCCAAATGGCAGTGGTTGTCAAAACCTTTAAACCGTTTTGGGATCCCATTTTGGGCACCACCCATTTTAGAACCTATCCATATGTTTGCGTCTGGTCCATGTTTATATATTCTTATTTTCTTTGGCGTACCAGGACCAAACATGGGGTCCTAGAAGTTCATCTTCCTAGGGGCAACCTGGCAGAGAGTATATGCGAGGTAATTTAAATAAGTCCTAAATGCGTTTGAAAGCAGGGGGAATCATTACGTGGACCTGGAACGGCTCCGTTCCCTGACCATGCTTTGTCTGTAAACTATCTAACTAGTTAGCAGTGCTAAGCTATACTACATGGGGTATAGTGAGTATTTTGCCTTGGTCAAATCCACCATCTGGAACTGAGGGCACTCAAGTATCGCTGGAGTTCTGTCACGAACAACGTGATCTTTCTTGCTCGGCGTTGCGATGTGCGCTCCGCTGCAGCTTGCCGGATGCCAACGTCAGCGGACAGCCATAACGTTAAGAGGGTGCCCCACGAGACACATCATTCTCCAATATGTATCCTTTGATATCCCTGTTGAAAACGAGGCTCTTTGACCAAAAGACTGTCAACCCACGGTGACGCCTGCTGCCCGCATTTCCTTCCAGTGGTGAAGCGTCCACTGCCACTGGCGAGCCTTGCGGCACCACGTGAAGCAACGCTGCAGTGACCGAGTTTCCTCTCAGAAATGCGACAACCTTTTTGGGACTGATTCATGGCAATAGCTTGGATTCCGCCACTCACCAGTCCAACCATACAATTCAATGCAACCTCGAACATGTTGATACTCCCCTGCAACAACCCCCCCCCCCCCCGGCGTGGCAAACACGCCCACAGCACACTGGCAAATGGTTTGGGTTGGGGCTGGGGCCATCCCCATTTAAGCCTGCCCTGGGGGGTGGTTACAATCAGACCTCACTTGGAACGTAGGTAAGTCAAGTGGGCCTAAACAGGGGTGCTGGAAACATTAGCCAACTGCATCCACCCCGTTCTGGGAAAAGAGAAGAATGATGCGCTGCTTGGCACCCAGCACTCGCCTGCAGATCACACATGGAACCTAACGTACCATCATGTGTAGAGGATTCCCTCCCAACAGCAATCGAACGGCCACGAAGGGGAGGCTGAAGAAAATGCACCCGACCCGTGGCACTTTGGGGTCCCATGTTGTGTGTCCGATGCCTTGTCGCAAGCAGTGAGCACCGCCGAGTGAGATACGACGTTGGGCTTGATGCCTCTCTCCGCCATTTCCTGAGAGCAGCGACCCACTTAGGGATTGCTTAAGTGCAAAAGTACTGTGGATGGACGAAATCATGCACCACTCTGAAACCGTGGGAAACTCTCGTTTGTTGGCATTTACAAAGGACTCATCATTCCAGGGTTTCTTAGGTGGTGCAGGATTTCGTTCATCCACAGTATCATGGGTTCCCCCTTGAGATCTCTTGCGGCTTTTCAAAGAGCTTGGGACGGACGCACGTCGTGTCCTCCTTTGACCCGCTGACTTTGCTGAAGAACGCAAGGCTGGTCCGGCAGAAAGGGGTGCCAGCAACCAACATCCCACAAAGCCCCCGGGCCCATTGTTTTGCCGGATTTGGGATCGGAAGCCGTTCTTCTGAGCTTCGCAGAATTGCCACAAAGAGACTGTGAAGGAATCAATAACCAGGAACCCCGTACCAATGCCTGTATTGTCCCAGAATAAACTCTGTCAAACTCTGTCAAACACGCAAGTCTGATTGAATCACATTGTCCACCCGAATAATGGTCCAAACCGCCCACCACCAAACAAAGAGAGCTAGAACTGCAGTTATACGAAGCCCGGCAACAGTGAAACCATAAAATTCCTCTTTCCACTTGTCCAACCTGAAGCCCCAAAGCCCCCCCCGAACAAAACAAAAAAGAAACATCCTAAACCTTCCAACCCCGAACCCCTTCGAACCCCCTCGCTCCCCCTTCTCACCTGCAAATACCCTGGAACCCTCCAGAAGGGGCTCAGAGTAAATTCCTCGAAAAGAATGGGTTCCATGACCGAACTCTGCGGAATAATTTTGCCCTTGCCAAACCAAGCCTTTGCTCCCGGAACAACAAAAAACTAACAACTTGAAACCAACTCAAAGGCCGTGGGACCCTTCAACTTCAACTCACATCTCATGCCAGATTAATCAACCTCGGTTAACTAATAGGGAGGTGCTTCTCCCTGGCTTTGAGGAATCAGACTTTTGGGGCCAAAACCACGCCCCCCCTTAATCAACCGCGTTCTCGCCAATTCACCTCCACTGCCATCCAAAAGAGGTCCGATTCCAAGCCGCGGTTTGATGCGACGAAAACGAAGCCGCTCAAAGATCAAAGGAAGCGCCGGGCGTGCGCAAACACAAAAATCAATCGAAGCCATGCGTCTCTCAGGAGGAAAAGGCCTTGCTCCCACTGAAGCGCCTTCTCACAGGCGGAGATGGCGGCGCTGTAGGCCACCACATTGGGCGCCACTGCGTCCTCGGCGACTCGAGCGAAGGCGCCAGGCCAAAACGTTCCAATTGGTCATGGAAAGTAAATTCGGTGGAATCAGCAGGGATCACAAGGGCAGAATGAGTGATCAAAAGGCAGAAGCGGATTTTGAAACATGACAAATACCGTCCTTGAAACTGTTTGAAAGCCGGCAAATAGCGGATGTTGTGGGCTGGAGACAGGTTTCAGAAACCGTTGAAGGACACAGCGGGCATTTCTCGCGAGGGCTGGAGCGCATCCGGAGAGACATGCGAGCTGCGGTCAAAATTTATTGGTCCCCCAACAGGACATGGGAATTTTGTGTCCCCTGGTCTCGTGTGAATTTTCGTGTCCCTCACGTGCCTCCCAACCGGACCATAGACTACGTGAAGTATTGACTCGAACCTAGGCCTAACAAAAGGAGGCCTTGGAAGCCCAGGGTGTATATTATATATAATATTCCAGGTACCCTGCCACAGGTTCTAATTTCACGGCAAGGGCAATTAAAAGAAACAGTGCCGATGACGGATGCTCGCTTTGGCAGGTACACGCAAGAAGAGTATGCTTGTGTACTGGTTTTGTACAGCAGCTGCGTGAAGTGGAATGAGAAGACATCAACAACCAGCTGGCTGCATTCCGGAACTCCAGACCTCAAGGTAGGTGACCCCCCCAATGCAGCCCCCCGTGGACGAACATGCTGCAGGGCCTTCAAGTTTGCATGAGTACGACTTCAGGAGTACAGAACTCGAACCATTGACTTGGAAGGAATGGTAATGTCACGTTTGTTTTGCTGCCTTAGAAACACTTGTTGATTGGACAGGAGCTCCCCGTCGAGAAGTGAGCCGCAAACATGAACTTGGGTGATTTGTTCCAATCCCGCAACGCATAGACTTTCCTCCCCCAGCCCGAACCAAATCGCCAAACCTCCACCCCCCAAACCGCCGGACCGCCCGCCCCCAATTTTTGGCCCCTCCAACCGCCCATTCCGAAATTCCCCGCCTGGTCCAAGTGCCGCAAGCAGGCCAGCGCCTTGAGCCAAAACCTCCCCTGGCCGCAGGCGCTGATCACCGCGCTGTAGCCTCGCTCCGCTACGGCTCCGCTAGGCTGCGCCATGAGGTGTTGGCTTGAAGCACTGTGGACGGACGAACTGGACGAAATCCAGAAATCGCACCACCTAAGAAAAACCCGAAGGATGATTCCCCGGTAAATTCCAAGAAACCATGGCTTCCCATGCCTTCAAAGTGGTGCAGGATTTTGTCCACAGCAGGGGAACGCGAAAAAGGGTTGGTTCCTTTAGCCTCAAAAAGAAACACCGACTTCGTGGTTCGCATGGGTGGCGTCCCTCTGCTCAAAAGCCAGGCTATGATAAGGAGCCAAATATAGTTACATCTATGCTTCTCCTATGACTTGATGCGGAACACACAACTCAATTTCAATCATGCGGGCCCCCAAATAGTGGATATAGGGTGCCACTGGAACCTACTCCAGTCCAGGAGAAATCTGCCTCCAAAGTGGGGGGGGAGGTTGTGGGTTCAGCGTTTGGTAACTTGGCTTTGTGGTTTGGAGGTGTTCAAATCTCAAACCACCAACTAAAAGGGTATCCGAGCGAATGGAAGATCTGCATGTCCAAAAATGACTACATGCCCCAGGCATACTTGCCTCAACCATATATATGGCCGCACGCCGTTGATTTCCCTTGATTCTGCTTCAGGGCTGCCGCCGTTTCCCTGTCAAACACCTCCCGGCAACAGCCACGTGATGCACAAGCCACCCCAAAGGGAGCCTTCGCGCGCCAACTGCTCCATGGTTGCGCTCTGGCGTACAACTGGCGGCAGAAAAGAAGCAAACTGGAAAATGGATCCTGGCCGCGCGAAATGTTTTCTGAAAACAGGCAAGCTGGAAAACGGATGACCCAGGGCCATGGGAAGACCAACGCCTCAAGTCCGGTCGTTCCGATTGATTCAAACCAAGTCACAAACGAGGTCCGGGGAGAGCTGTTGACGCCTCAGCCTCGGAGCATCGGAGCGGGAAGTCCCGAACCCAGCGGGCAGCGGTGAATTTGAATTCGGTCCCAGGTGGGTTGAAAAAGGGAAACCAACAAAGTAAACGAATCATTGCGTGGGGGGGGGTGCACGCCTATCTTGACACATAATGACACATAACGAAATGGAACAGAACTAAACTGGGTGGCTGTTGCCCGTTGGACAACCCACATTTGTCCACATCCAAGGCTAAAATCAAGTAGGGGCCAAACCAACTCAAAACAAGCCCAGAGGGTTTGTTTGCCCAAAAGTTATCACAAGTCCAACTCAGGAAGTGAGACTTGTGCTGATGGCCGCTTGCCTGGGAGGTGACACCAAACGGGCGGAATTCTGCCATCATTGCCATCATAGCCCCCCGTTAACTGGGAGGGGGGGGTGGGGCCTCGTCAGACCCAAATATGTTAACATTTTTTCAGGCCCTCCTTCAACGAGTTGCTTTGCTCCATGGCAGGTTTGGAAGGCCTTGCTTTTCGCCTTCCCGCAGTGCTTTTCAATAGCTGCTCGTTGCGGCCAAACTGGGACTGGGCATGACTGTGGGAAAGCACCCGCAACTGTGATAATGAACTGGGTCATTCTCAGGATTGCGTTGTCGCTTTGACGGGCTGTCCTCAGATCCTCGGCTTCAATTTTCAACTTTTGGTGAGTTAAATGGAAACCTTACCACTAAACCACCTTTAAAAACAACTAAAATCCTAGGGAACCGGAAGGCTGGAACCAAGGTTACAAGAAGATTCCTTTGCCACAGAAAGTCATGCCGGCCCTCTCCGTAATTGTCGAGGCGCGTGTCCAGCAGTCGCAGGGCTCGCGAGGGCTTGGCTTTCAGTACCTTGAGACAAGCGCTGTAGGCCGCCAGGTCCGGAAATTCCATGGCGCCCAGCAGAGCCACGGCCAACCTGAAGTGGGGAATGTCCCGTGCGCGTGGATTGGCGGGCCTAGCGTTGGGGGAAGGGTTGGGCTTAGGCTCGGTGGATGAAACCTACAAACAAACCTGGAAACATGGGGTAGGGCAGGAAAACGCAACGCCAAATGCCCTGAAAATAGAACGTTGTACAATAGGCTGCACCAGGAAATTAAGGGGAATAAGCCACACACCTGCAATTTGAAAGTTATACCTGAAAACACAAACGCAAAATCCGCCAAACAACCTGGGCGGTGCAAAAACACCAAACATCCACAAACAGCAGCTGGTGATGGAGGGTTGCTGAGGAAAGGCACGATCAAACCCAAGGACCGATAGAAATCGGAGGTTACATCAGGGTGAAATGGCATAAGTCCCTTGTCGCTAAGCAGAATGATGAAGCCTTGCTTCGATGGAGTGTTGCCTCTTACGTGCGCGGGGTTTGCCTCTTACTGCAAGGCGATCTATTGAAACAACTTGACTACAACCAGCAGCACTGGAACGGCAACAAGTCAAACGTTGAGCTTCGGATCAACAAGCAAATCAAGTTGCGCACTGATGAAGTTCTCAATTATTGGTAGTTGTTTCTCCAAATCAGATCTATAAAATATTAAAACCCCTGTTAGGCATTTCTGGTTCGATCGGTTCTGGTTTATGGAACAATTTGCAAAACTTGAATGCTTGATACTGGAAACGTGGCATTCTGCATCATCTCGACTCCAAATGACTCCAACAGATCCCCAGCTCCCATCACCGCCCCAAAAAACCAAGCGTCGAGATTTAACTTGGGACTTTTTCTTCTTGTTTTATTTGGGGATCTCCTTTTTTTTTTATCGGTTTTCCGTCCTGGCTACTAAAAAACACTGGCCCTCCAAACAACAAAAAACCAAAACCGACCCGCGCCCTGCCAGCCTTCGGACCCGTTCGATCCCTCCCAGAAACGGGGCGCTCCCAGTCCCGTGGGCCGCAGCTGGCGATGGCCGCGGTCAGCGTCCGGGTGCTGGGCTCCTGGCTCGGCAGCCCGGGGATCCCCTGCGCTGTCGTGCTTTGTTTTTTCTTTTTGAGTGGACACCTTTTTCTGTGAGTTGTTTTATTTTATTTATTTATGTTTATTTGCTTTAAGTTGACAACTTTTTTTGTGAGTTGTTTTTGCATTTGAGTTGAAACCCAAAAGAGCAGAAAAGCTGAAGCCAACTTCCAGGGGGTGGAGAGGTTGTCGAGGGAGAGGCGTGTGAGCAACGGTTCCACGAAAGGTATCTGTCGAAAAATGGGGGACACCAAAATCGTCCGGCTTCCTTTTGGCTTCCATTTGCAACAACCCCAAAACACATGTGCAACAACCCCGAAACAAGGTACCCTTGACAAACCACACCCTTAAAACCAACGCAGCAGCCAGCCTGTCAGCCCAGGCCCCGTTTCCTCGATCTCTGCGAAGAGCCGCATGGCCGCCGTGGGCTCCCCGCCCCGCTGGCCTCAAGGTTCAGGGGATGGCTCCTTTTCCATTCTTTCCAGCCATCGGTCTTTTCAAACTCTGGCCGTTTCTGCTGGGTTTCTGCAGGTGTTCTAAGATTCGGATCGGAAAGAATGGACATGGAAGGTACCCCAAGAAAGGGGTATGGTCTGCCAAGGTCCTTTAAGGAGTCACTCCGGAGGAGACGTGCGACTGGAGAGAAGCTCTGGAAGCCCCTTCCGATTGTCACCTGAAAGGAGAACATTTTCTTAAACCGACTTACAAGGAACAGGGACCCCTGTCACTTCCTGAGTAAATGCCAAACGTGTGCTTAGGATAATGGTCTTCCCGAAACATGTAAAGGCCAGCAAGTCGAGGAGTGAGCAGTTGCAACCAGCAACCTAAGAGGTTGAAAAAGAGCTTCGCTTTGAGGTTTGGTTGATTCCATTGAGGGAACCCTATTCGGTTGGTTTGATTCCATCAAATGGTTTAGAGGGTGAGACTGCAAACCTTGTTTTGGCAAAGGTTTGAGGTGTTCAGAGATAACGGTTTGTTTACCAAACATAAGCAGTAGTGAATGAAACCTGGCAACCATCGCTGGCTAAGCTATCCCTATTAAAGGCCCAATTTATGTGGTTCCGTTGTGGCTTCACAACAAAAGCAGCTGCCTTAGACAAGAGAAATAAGCAGTTGCATCCAGTGACCCGAGCCAGTCGGGAACCCAATTCCCTTTCACGTCCGAAAGCCTGGACCGTCTGAGCGGCACTTAGAAAGGACTCTTACTTTCAATTCATCTAGCTACATATCTTATATATATATATACACATGTTACGGTTATACATGTATATGTAACCCTATCTTCCACAAAAGAGGGCACTCAAACTGATTGGATCCCAAAAAAGGCAAAAAATACACCACTCATCACCAACGCTTGGTTTCTCATGGCGCCAGCCTGCATATGGGTCCTGGCGCTTGAATTTTGGCTCCTCTCCGAGTGTCCTCTTGGCGTCCCAACCATGCCGGCCAACTCACCCGGAGGCAAACCTCCTACCAGGAGCCACGTGGGCGGAGGGTTAAAACTATAGTGGTTCAAACTCCCCAACCCTGCAAGTTGGTCTCAGTTTGGGTGGGTTAGGGTGGCTTTCCTTGAGGGATACATCCAAATCAACCTCGCTTTACGAGGATTTAGGTCCTCTAAAACATCGAAAGGTGATTGAACTGGCAGCCGGCATACTTTAAGGGACTCCGTTTAAAGCAAGCGTTTCACTGCTCCAATCCCCAACCCCCAAGCCCTCAGTTTGCCACAAGCCACAGGCCCGCATCGCCGCGGCGTAGTGCAGATCGCTCAGCTGCAGTTGCTGCGCCCGGGCACGGGCGAAAACCTGGCTGATTGGATCGACCGTAGACAATTCATAGAGGATTGACAAGCCCAGACATAACAAAATATGTTGTGTGTTCTTTATGTAGCAAATCAGCCATAAAACGAAACCCCGAAAAAATGTAGGCAAGACTCATCGTACCCTTGATTGGTGGTTTGGGGATCTGAACCCCTGGTTGTTGATTCATTCAAAAAGGGAAAGCAGGCCCTTAACCTACCACCACACAAAGGAAGGCTGAAATGCGGTGAGCCCCGGATACATCCACAACCCACCCCCAGCGCACCGCCAGTGCGCGGCGCCAGTTGGTGCGGCCCAGCTGGCGTTGGCGCGCCAGCACCTGCTGAGCCTCAGCGGCGTCTTTCATCGTTTCATGGAGCCAATGTGGGTTGAAATCATAGAAGACAGCTACAGGGGATTTTAATCCCACTGAGAGTTGAGAGTTGAGATGTCAGATCTCAGATCACAATGAACCAACCCTGCACCAAGAGTTCAGTAAGTTGAGAGTTGAGATTTGAGTTGAGACGTTGTTGTCTCAGATCCGAGCCTCTACAAAAAGCTAACCTGTTTGTTGGTTGAAATCATAGAAGACAGCTACAGGGGATTGGACATTGTTCCAAGTACAGAGCAAGCCCCAGGAATTCCTGTAGGACCTGTAGCTGGCTTCTTAGATTAAACTTATGATAAGTTCACAAAAGTCAAAATGCGGAATCCAAGTAAACCAGGTGAAGTGCTTTGATCTTATGAATTGCCGAGGTTTCAAAAGTACACAGTAAGAACTTTAGTTTGGAGCATATTGATTTTCCCCTTGTCTCTCCGTCTCTCTGTCTCTGCTTCCTCCCCTTCCTCTTCGTCTTTCTCTTCCTGCTTATGGTTTACCTGTCTCCTTATCTTTGTGTTTGTTCTTTCTCCTTATCCTTGACTCTGTATCCTTCTCTTGTTCTTTATCTTTCTCTTTATCAGTCTTACTGCTCTTTCTGACTTCTCTTCCTCTTTCTCTTCCCCTTTCCCTCTATCTTTGCTTTGTCTGTCTCTTGCTCTTTCTCCTGCTCTTCCTCTTCCTGTTTCTCTTCCCCACTATCTTTCTCTTCGTTTTGCATTTCCTCTGTCTTTCTCTTCCTCTTTATCTTCATTTGTCTTTGTATCCTTATCTTTATCTTTCTCATGTTGCTCTCTTTCTTGCTCTGTTTCTGTCTCTGCCTCCTTCTTTGTCTCTGTCTCTGCGTCCGCCTCCTTCTGTTTCTCCTGTTCCATCTCTTGCGTTTGCTCTGTCTTTCTTTCTTTCTTTCTTTCTTTCTTTCTTTCTTGCTGTCTTTCTTTCTGTCTTTAGATTGCTTTTCTGAATTCACTTTTTAATACTTTTTATTTATCTTTCTCTTTCTCTCTCTCTCTCTCGCGCTCCCCCAGCCCACGGTAGAGTGTCTTAAGGTAACATTATGATGGGTGCGCAAGCTAAAACAACATCAACAAAACAAGCGCGAGTTTGTTGAAGCCGACCCGGAAAGGCCAGAGGCGGTTGCGCGTTTTGTATGGTCGACCCATCCTTGCGCATGTCTAGCTTTTCAGTAGCTTGTTCACTCTAGGGATTGTCAAACTTGCTGGGAGTTAAACTTTGAACCAACACGCAGTGGGCCGTTTTTGTTGGATGCTAGGGAAGGAGAACATGGATGAACATGGGCGCAAGGGAAACGTGACATTGCAAGTACAAAGCAGCAAAGCCCTCAAGGAGACCCCAAGGTCCCAAAGCAGGGCTGTGGTTGAAACGGAATCCACTTCTGTGATACCACAAAAAGGGGTTCTGAAAAGGCTAACCAGCCAAATGTAAAGGCGGAGATTCCCGAAGATATCACAGAAGTGGTTGGACAAACCCCCAAGTGATCCCAACCGGATCCATCCCTGTCCCACCAAACCTGTACAAGCTGCCGGATCCGGCGTCAAACCTTTCAGCGCGCGCCGCCACTTGGAGGGCAGCTGAAGGAGCCATTGGGACATGGATGCGCCCGAGGGTGGGGGTTTGGGGGTTTGGGGTTGGTAGGGATGGCTTTAGGGTGGGTTTTGGGGGGGGGTTGGGCTTGCCAAATGTCTGCCATAGGGACACTTCCCACTTGCTACCAAGACTTCCACAATTGAAACAAAAAGCGAACATATCCCCCGTAGAGAAACTGCAAGCATCCGCCCTCAGTTTACATGACAGTGGACCATTGGTCTTGGGTGGTTCGCTTGATGCACGCAATCCACGCGAGTATCCGAAGCGCCTGAGGTCCTACGGAGCCTTGGGTCACGGGTCAAGACAAGGCCCCAGGGCGATGCTAGTGGAGGCCTAAGGAGAAAGCCTGGCATTCTGGACAGGGAAACCCCGGACCGCACAAGACCAGATGCAATTGATATGTATGCAACGAGAGAAAGCTTGGGCAAACAAGCAACAACTGGTCTTGCACTGTCACAACACACTCAAATCATTCAACACAAGCACCAGTCAGTTGAGCACGGGGCTCCCTAGTGACAAAGTGAAATATCGCGGTGGTCTCTGCGTTTGGTTCCCTCTTGCCTCACCCTAACAGTTGTCGAAATGGATAGGGCAACGCGTAACATCTGCAATCGCTTGTGAGTATGCTTGGGCTTCCCAGGAAACGTCCATGCCTTGCGGAGTCTTATAATACATCGCACAGGGCACCGTGTTTTGGACACCGCAAATTTGCGGGCCAATTACTAGGGTACCCTCAGATTCCAAAGGCCTTGCGAAGATAGGCCGCTGACAACAGGCCCTAAAAAGGTTAAAAGGCCGTATTGAGTATCATGCTGAGTACAAGTGCTGAGTAACCATGCCTTTTTCAGGCCAACCCTCCACCCCCGCAACAAATACCACTTTGTTTAGCAACACCTGCGGAAATGAGCATTATGCTATATGCACCCTGGATGTGGGTTGATAAGGCAAGTTTTATTTGTTTTGCTTTTGCTCTCAGTGCCACTGCATCTTCAGGGCGAGTCGCGTTGCTCCAAGGTGGTTCTGCAGACTGAACTTCTGAACAATCTTCTTTAGCGTCACGCTCCTGCGCTTTCCCTTGCACATGTCAGAACGTGTCTGCGAACCTGCACTTTTTTGGGTGAAACTAATGCTGCGCTCTTGCACGCAAGCAGCGCCCAAGAAAAAGTCTGTCATGTGGTTCCTTGTGGCTTTTCACTGCTATCCTGGCTTTTGGCCGGGCTGTCCACGCATGTCCACGTTTTCGTCCACGTTTTCGAGGCCTTTCCACGTCTTTTTGAGGCCTTTCCACGAAGTTTCCATGCGTTGTCCAGGGTAAAGCTGGCGTTCTTCGTCACCGGCATATATATATATATATATGTATATTTAGCGCAATGAAAGAATTCTGCCAGCTAGTTTGGCTCTAGTTCTTGCCCGGCGAGCAGAGATCTACGAAGGCAAGCTTGAAGTAGACAAACCGGAAAGGAAATCAACCGACCCCAAGTGAACGGGTCGACGGGTCGTTTGAACATGAAATGACTCTGCGACCCTGCGGCGCAGAGCGCACTCTTTGCCACGTTCGCCTTCCGACGCGGAGTGCGAATGAGGATGTCGACGCTGAGACCTGGGCAACTTGCGCACGGAAGTTGGGACGCCCCGAACTTACGTCATTTTGATTGGGGACCAATTGGTGGACATGGTGGGGCTTCATGTCCTCCAACTACTCCAACCACTGTTGAGGTGGTTCCCTGTTGAAATTCATAGTCACATGGAAACCGGAAAGGGGGTCCCTCACAGGGAGTCCGCTGCATGAAGCACAACCCGACCAACTGCTGGCATCCGTGGCTCGGTCATTCCCACCCCTAGCCACTTGCCCGCAATGGTTGCGACTTGCAGCCAAAGGCCCTGCTTCATTCACCCAAACCAATACGAGCAGGCAGACTTTTGGCCGTCGAATCAAAGGGTGAAGGAAGTGAAACGCCCCAAGCCACGGACCCAGACTTTCAACCAAGGGTTACATTCAACTTGAGGGGAGCCATCCAGAAGGCCCAGGAACCTTCTAAAGAACCTTCTGTTGGCTTCCACGTGGGAAAGAAAGGTACAACAAGCAAGTAAGGCCTGTTTCTCCCCAAATGCATCATAGAAGACACCCCACGAAAAACTCAAGGCGTGTGAAGTTTTCATGACTTGGTCATTGTTGTAGGAAGTTTGTCTACTTATATACAAAACATACGCAAAAAAGGGTGGGCAATAGCTGAGCCGCTGGCCAGCTACTAGCACCTGGCACACCCCGTCCCCACATCAACCCCAAAAAGCAATCCATCTGTATATATGGTCGAGAGAGCTAAAAACTATGGACAAAACACTGTGTTTGTGCAGTCATTTTATGAAGAAAGAGGAAAGGTAGTTCATGGGGGGGGGGGCTGACCATATATATATATATATGTATATATATATATATGTATAATATTATAAATTATATGTATGTACACAAAACAAACGACAAATAGCCATCCCTCGGCAACTCCTGGCCTGTTCTAGATGTTTTTCCCCAGCGAGCTGAAGAGAACTGAATGTGACCCCTTTAGGACTTGACCCGCAGAATGCCCTGGCTTGTTCATACTGCCGATTAGGCTGCCTTGCGAAAGGGGGTCTCTCTAGCTTGGACCCAGGCAAACAAATGACTTGCCGCTGGTTCAAAGGACAAACGGAACGAACCAAGCATGGCAAAAGGGTAACAAGGCTGTTACCCTAGTCTGACAATGGAGATCCCAAATGCGTTTTTCCCCCAAAACAAAAAGAGGAACTCTATATGGAATTGTAGGGTTCCCCCCCTCCACCGATTTCATCTTGAAGGAAGTGGGCATCAATGGACCGATTCCCTGTGCCTCGTAGCTGATGTCAACGCCTGCACACGGAACACTTGCATGAGACAAACCGGGTGTCACCTAAGGAGGGAACCATCCAAAAACGATAATTCTAGGGGTAACTTCCCCATTCTTTCCAGGGATCAACCCCTAGAATAATGCCTTCTGATCGTGTGGAAAAGGTTCATGTTTTAATAGCTGTAGCTTGCAAGGAGCTGCATCAGAATGATGCAGCTACGTTCAATATGCGAGGCTTTCCGCAGCTGACTCTTGTTGCGTATGCAGGCCGCGGCAAAGGAAGCGGCCCTGCATGCCAAATGAGGACTGCTGTTTGTATTTATCAGCCAAGGCTCCAAACAGGAGTTTTGCAGGAGAACCCAAGTGAAGCTTGCCGGATTTGAGGGCCAGCTCAGCTGTTGTTGGAAACGTGCACCAAATGCAACTTAGCTTGCACACAGGGCGGCGTGGATTTATCACATAAACGCCAGGCACCCCCAATGGGTGTCAATTGGCCCCAAAAAAGGCCGAGGGAGGTCA